TTATTTTGCTTGAAAATTAAAGCGCCTGTCATGTGACCATATTTACGTAGTGATCTCCCCTGAATTTTTCGGCCTTAGTGTTACATATAAAGGGAAGTAACCGTTTCAAAAAAGCAGACTACTTTCGGCATTTGCAATTAACAGCATTAGAGTCTGAAATTTCGCTACCATTATTTGTTTGGTCTGACGACTCAAACAAATAATAAAAATGATATTTTGATTCTATTGTATTTTGATTGCACAGTTTACACATTCTAATATCTCATTCTATATATTATATAACTATATATCTTCCCAATTTTATCTTTAAAAATGTGTACATAATCGTTAACTCGCGATAAGTTAATCCTTATATTACATCTGAAAATGACCCGGAAGTTAACTTTAAAACTTGAATGCTCTGGCGTTATTTTTTATCTTTTATTATAAATATATATAAAGAAGAAAAACATTTTCTTGTAAACGTGAAATTTTAGAACAAAAGTCGTCTGACCTAAGTTATAGGTACTCCTCTGAGTTCGAAAATCCTAATTAACATATAATATACAATTCTTTACATCAACCTCGGCACATTAATCAGAAAAAAGTGTGCAAAAGATAATAAAAATAATCGTAAGATAAAAAAACTTTAACATGCATAATAGATATCAATATCATCACGTACAACTGTTCACCGGTAGAAGCCAGAGTGACGCGTCACTTTGGCCAATGTCAAGGATTACACATAGAGGTAAAGGATAAGATAAATATGGCATTTTATTATTTCTAAATAATGGATTTATATTTCAGACGTCAAAAATAGAGGCACAATGTTGTCAGCATAATCCAGGTTACTATTTACAAGGTCACCAGAAAAGACTAAATGTAATAAGATATCAAAGGGAAACACTTAGTGAATCTTCTACATACATAGAGAAGATTGTTATAAAGCTTATAAAAATGTTTAAAAATGGGCTTTTGTCGTTTCTTTTAAATACATGTAGATGAACCCAGGGAATGTCCGTTTTCCCTGCATAAAATTATATAAAATCAATTTATCTACCTTTAATAAAAAAATATTCGATCTTAGACCATTAAGCCCAGAAATTGCTATTTCTATTTCTTTTTAGGCTTCTTTTTTATTTTAGTACACTTCAAGCTTAAAGCTCCTAAAATTGCCATATTTCTGAATCATGGTATCTTTTTTTTTCTTCTTCTTCTTCTTTTTTAGGGGAATGGGAAGGTTGTTTCTTGCATTTTGCATAGTTATATGTACAGTGCACATGTTCATTGACGGTAAATAGAATTCAATGAAAATGGTAAACTAATGAAATTTAGAACATCCACAGACATGTTCATAAGGCGGTTATAATAGAACATTTCATGTAACACGTTCGTGCCATTCTAGAATATGTACGTCATAAACTTAACGAGGAAACAATTGGTAATGAATAAAAACAATAATAATAGAGACAGTTTTATTTACAGAGGATAACACATTAAGACATATACAGATTTTGCAACACCTTATTAACAATGCAGCCTTCTAAATAAAACCATATCAAACGAAGAAAATATAACACGTAAAACAATGTTAACATAAAATATATCTTATAGAATTCATTTTAACATTAACTATCATTAAATATCATAATTATTACTTTCTTCAACGCATTATTATTTCAAATCCTCAACAGTCATCTACAGACATGTAGCCGTTATTACAAACTCAAAAAGTCAACATTTTATTTGCAATGCGGCAGGTATCTGCCTTTGTCTATACAAACATAAATATACATATGGCAAACACACAGCAATATATTAAACAAAGGAAACGCTCCATTGAATAAATATTATCTATAACAAAGCATCTATTAAGTTTGAATCCTTATGGATGGATCGAAAATTTAATACCAAATCAAAGCAAAAGTTTTCTATAATTATTTCTTTCTTCTTTAAAATGCATCCCTTAATAATTGCTTTAATGATATATTTTTCTTTTATTATTTGTCATAACTCTTTAAGATTAATTTAGACTTGGAGAAGGGTATGGCACTTTGTATTTTATTCTTAAATCTCAATATAGTAGACAAAATAAATAAAGTTGTACTCCGTTTCAAAAGCTTGCTGAGAACAAAACGTAAATACTCTCGCAGCATTTCTTTCTACAAAAATATATCTTCCTGTTTCAGTTTCTAATGTATTAGAACTTAACCTAAAAATTGAAATTTGTTTCCTTTATTTACTTAAATATTGGCCACAATATTAAGATACTCTTCAATACAAAAATCATCTTTATACATTTTATAGTAAATAAGTTTTGGCATTAACTCTATCGATTCGTGCCATTTCTGCCCAAATTGGTCTTTCAACCACTTTTTAATATACAATATAGTTGAAATCATGCCCAAATTCTCTAAACAATTTGAAAACCTTAAATTCTTAATAATTTTGTGAATATTTTACTAAAACAATTTATACTAAGAATAAAAACCTAAAAACATAACGGTCATATTTGATGTATATAATATACATGAATCATATTATAGTTTTAATCAATATTTCTTGGGTTTATTTTGAATAGTGGTGGAACTAAATAAAAAAGAATTTTGAAATAAAATCATATATAAGTGATTACACCTTATCCAAAAAATAATAATATAACAACTACCTAGCAAGAAAAAAAATCAAATTGACGGAACTAATATACCAAAACTACAATGACGATGTCGTATTGAACGATCATTAATGATTGAGAATATTAATATCCCTGACTGAACGTAATAATTTAGATAATCCACCAGTTGTTTTTTAGTTAAACTGGTCCAAATGTGAAAAGAATCTCATCAGTTTTAAATCAAAAGCGTTACCAGAGATAGCAGAGTATAAACAATTTGTAAAACTTTAAAACACCTATACAATCTAGATTTTTGGCTATATCATTTCGAATCAGATAAATATGGACTTTTGTTTGATCAGAATTTCCCACTTTCAGTAAAATATAATTAGTCGCCGGTAGAAACCGGCGACTATATTTGTAATAGTTTAATATTATACCTATGGTAGGAGAAGGCATTAATTTCTGTAAATAAAAGCATAACAATTCCTGAACAATTAAAGACTACAATTGTTTTCAGTAATCTCAAAAATTCAAACATACAATAATGTTGCTAAATGAAAATGAAATATTCGAATACTGTCATCGTAAAAAGCAACATTACAATATTTATAAAATGAATTAATGACGTATCCCTATGGACCAGTCATTGAATTTAGGGATGCTTTTACTTTTTTTAAAGTGTAAAGCGTTGCTATTTTATGATAAATAAATCATGCATGATATTTGAAATGACACTTTTAAATTATCTGGTTGTTTGTATCTTATGAGACCTATTCTATTTTTTACCTTATTTATTATAAACAGTTTCTCCCAGAATCACGTGACTACACGTTGTATGTTATTGTTATGAAATCTATTATTAGTAACAAATGACTGATAAGATAGACATACAGGTAACATGTGAATGGTTGGCAGCTGATAAAGTGCAAATCAAAGTAATTTTGTATGAAAAATTTCGGTATGACAGTAGAGGTCGGAATCGTATTGGATACAAAGAGAAAACTAATAAACCATCTTTGTGTTGATAGTTTATCCCACTGAAAGGCAATTAAACATTAACTTTATCGTATGTAACGACAGGAATATTGATTTCAGCTAAATAATATATTTTTTCGATAGTGCATAAGAATAATTTGTTTATGCAGACACCACTTTTACAGTAGAATTGCATTGTTTTATGCAATAATTAATCATATATATTTTCATAGTCAATTTGCAAATATTCGATGATCGGTAATAATTTGTTGGTAATTATCGGATGCTGAAGAAAACCATACGTACAACGGTATATGTATAAAGTAGAATTACAAATAGAATTATAATCATATCACTTGCTTTACAAGCCTCGATGACAAGGTGTTAGATTTTAAGTTAGTTTCAAATTGAAGACTGTAGGTTCGATAAAGTGATTTTTTATGTTTTCTTTTATAATACTTTTTGTATTTTGCAAAACTTGACCGTTTATCAAAATTATGAAATAAAAAAGTGCTAGAAATGAAACACACGATTTATCAACTTATGTTTCATAAAGTTAAAAGATATAATAAAAATCAATTTATGAAAACTACACACAGGATTTGTCCGAGATTCGAACTTGCGCCTACTACATGTAGGTTCCAACTTCGTCATACTTACCACTAGGCCATCGAGCAGTATTAATTTTTATTATTATACATGTAATTATACTTACAATAAAATCGTTAACATTAATCATAATAAGTTATGTAAGCAAACGAAACAGCTCCCGAAAATTATTGAGTCTCGGGTAAATATTGCCAAACAATACTTGCTTATTTAATAATGATAACAGTTTCTTGACAACATTGCTAAGCAAGTTTGATTCAAATATGATGTTTTATTATAACATGAGATGAATTTTTTGCATAAAACTCTCATCAAGGAAGATATAATTGTGGCAAGTAAATGAAAACGTGTTTATGAATAAACATTACTCAACTTATTGTTCCTCTTTTCTTTATACTCGAACCATTAAACTGATATTTTCTTTTATTTATGATAATGCAATCATATTTCTATCCGGCGACTTGATGCTTTAGCATCAAAATCTCTACTTGTTTTTTATGAACTTTGTTGTTGGTGGTGGTGGTGCTATTTCTGCTGCTACTGCTTCTGCTTCTTTAAGAACAACCATAATTTTCATATCATGACAAATATCTTCAGAGCAAATGTTTCTACACAAATTGTTTTCGGTTGCCTGGGCAGGGATTTGAACCATCAAACAACGAACACTTTAAGCGAACTCCAAGAACTCTTGATATACTAGTAGATATTAGAAAAAAAATGCAGAAGCAAACCAAATGATTCTAGCTTTAGAACTTCTATAAGAAAGGGTTTGTTTATTGTCTTTGATTTAATATCAAAAATAACAAAAAAGAAAACATTAAACATAATACAAAAATCTATATTATCCGTCAGCATGATGCAAATCCATACATGGTGCAGAATTTATTTGCGTTGAAATTCTTTAAATTTTTTCACAATTTTTCATGAGTCAGCTCTATGAGAATTCCTATAACATATTTTACTCTGACTGACTTCACAGAACTTTTGTCCAGTATATATACACACAAGTAAGCCAGTCAGATTTAATCATAAAAGGAAGATATTAACATATTTTATAAAAAAAGGAAATTAAACAACACATCTCTGACTGATCAGTGATGGCAGATCTGGTAAGAATTCAGGGCCTTATATCCACTTTTTATAAAACAAAAACAAACTGTCACCAATATCGAAAGTAGTTTTTAGCTGAATTCGATTGAAACTGTTCACTTGAAGGAGAAAGATTTCCACTCCGATTGTCATATCGGTAGTATGGATCTGACGTCGACTGCCTCTGTCCGCTCGTGGACAATCCTGATAAATGAAAATTCAAGTTTTAAATTTGAATAACAAAAAAAACTATTCTGTGAAAGTTAAGATGGAGTATGACTTCACAGAATGTAGTTTTAGTTGGACAATGAAATGTAAAATATGATAAAAATAGTTGAAATAAAAATATTCAAGTACACAATTAAATGAACAAGCACTTATCATAGTATTGCAAGCAATACATAGAGGATATTTGTTTGTGTGTAAAATGAAATATTGTGTCATCGAGTGTGCCACTCGTCAGAATACTGTTTTTAAAGTTCATGAGATGAAACACAATTACATCCTAAACAACAAACAAACAAGTTTTCTTTATTAATGCTCAAATACAAGTTTAAATGAATGAAATTCCTTCAATATTAACTTGCATTGTTTTCCCAACTGGTATCCTAAATTTCAGATGAATTTCTTATAATATAGATCTAAATACCGGAAGTCTTATGCAGAAAAATAAGTTTAAATCAACATTAAATGCCGTGGATATTATTTCAAACAATATGAATAATCCATTGTTTTAAACATTAACACAAACATTTTTGGAAGATGAAAAAGTAACCCCATGCCGAATTTAATTCTGATTTGTACACTAATATAGTAGAGGGAGATATAAGTCTCTATCACGACAGCCATTTTAAAAGATGTTTATTTCAAGCGAGGAAATATTAAAATGTGTTTGACTCGAAGGGATTCTATTTGGATTGGATAATTTAACATCTATCATAAGAAAGAATACTCATTCGCGGACTGTTACAAACAATACATAAAGTGTATACATTCAAAAAGCAACTAGGAATTTGGAAAACGTGGAATCTTTTTTAAGGCTATCCTTCGGGAAGATGACTGTCATTGCTTTTACACAGTTTTTACAGTTATTGCACATAGAATACTTAATTTTGCACAGATGTCATCAAACGCAGTTTTGCATGATGGAGGAAGAGTTATAATCAGACTATTGAACGAAATCAAACCGAAGAGACGAATCAGTACAGATAAATTTGCGGTAAGTTCAATTAATTAAAGTAAATTTTATCTTTTTTTCATTAAGTTTGAAATTGAAGTTATTTATCAATTTCAGCTTTGCTTTGCTTTAAAAAGCTCTAGATATGTCGGAATTAAAAGCATTAATAAAAGTGATGTATCACATCGGGAAAATCTTTAAAAGTAGTGTCTACATTAAAAATGTAAAATGATATAGATGATATTTGTTTGTTTGTGTTTAAGATGAAATTTATTTCATCGAATGGGTTTTAAAAATGGTATTATCACCAGTGGCGTAGCCACGAGTGAGAATACTGTTTTTAAAGTTCACGAGATGAATTACAATTACATCTTATACATAAACAAACAAATTTTCTTTTTATTTTATGCTTAAAAATAAGTTAAAACGAAATTTCCTTAATATTAACTTAAATATTAAAATCTGTTTTCCCCACTGGTAGCGTCTATAAGTCGAACTTCTCATAAAATGCAATAGGCTGAAAAATAAGTTCGACAATCAACGTTTAATGGCGGTGATACTATTCCTTTTATTCAAAAAATATGAATGATCGCTTGTTTTAATAATAAAAACAAACAATTCTAGAAGAAGAAAAAGTCACACCATCCGACCTTTTTCCGTTACTTACTGCGGATTTATATAAGACCTAGCTTTGTGAAATGTAAGCGTCCGCCATTTTTAAAAGTTGTGTATTTCACGGGAGGGAAATAATTGTGTTTGATTCAGAGGGATATCATTTGGATTTATTCAGCCATATATCTTTTTCGAAGAATGAAAAATTATTTGAGAAATAAGTTTTCACACATGTGTTAACATTCAAAAGGCGGCTAGGAAATTGGAAAACATGGAAAACTTTTGAAATTCAAGTTATTTATCAAGTTTAACAACAGCCCTGACAATGTCAGAATTGTCAACAAAAATAAAATTGAGGTACCACATGGGAAAACTTAAAAAAGTAGTTTCGTCATTGAAAAGTGTGAAATTATATTTTTGGTAATTTTCACTGTGAAATTATCAAATATCATTTTCACGGATAAATCAGTAATCCACTGGTAAGCATGAAATAAATCTAAATAATTTTCACCATGAAATTTTCAAATGATATACACGGATAAATCAGTTATCCATTCAGAAGCATAAAATAAATTAGATCCCTACCATTAAGAACCACAGAAACATTCTGAAGGCCATTGGCCATTCATTTATGACATTGAATGAACGAATGAGAATGAATGAATGAATGAATGAATGAATGATTGAATGAATGAATGAATGACATTGAAGATCTTAGACTTTTTCAGTTCTCCGTTTGTCTGTATCATAGTAATGTGTTTAGATTCTCTGCCTAGTACGGAAATTATGTTACTACAACAGATTATCCAAAAGATCAAATTTTCTCAGGATGAACATGTATGCTGGTTTCCAAGCATTTTCGGGCCGTAGCAATTTCAGGCCCTTTTTCATTTTCTTCCTGCACGGTCCATTTTTAACAGTAGAGCGTCTGTGTTACTTAATTCTAAGAGAGAAACGTTTGATTTTTATGCAACACAACAAACAATTTTAAAACAGCAGTTTACTAATTTTTAAGATTTTTCGGCTGTTTAAAGCTACCTTAGGGAACCTGTTGCATAAAAGATTATAGTTTAATAGCCAAGTGCAAAGTGAATGTCGAATTCACTGTAAAATGTTACTCTTGTCACTTAACTTGCAGACGATACAAAAAAATGTCAATAAACAGTATTTGCATATTTAAAGATATAAATTTCAAATAATCTAGCGGAACATTCCTTAACAGATATCTTTTACTCCTTATGCATCTTCTTTCACTCCCTATGCTTCTGAATTGATATGTTTGTTGCCTAAATCTTTTCACTGGTCAGCGACTGTTTCTGACAACGTCGAAGACTTCTAGTATTTTTTGGTGCCATTGTATTTATAACTATTTTTGGTTCTATAATAACCCTCAGAAATAGATAAATACGGAATCCCTAAAGACAGCCCAACACGGCAAAATTGAAAATGTTGCAGGCTCGGTTTGATTGAGCCTGTTCATGGACGGTACTGGAAAGTGCAAGTTACCGTCAGTCAATGTTTGGTCTGCGACTGATTCTGGGACGCTTGTAAACTTTAAGAAATTTGTGCCAATGGAAATAATGGATTTTTTTTTACTTCGTAGAGACTTTCCAGTGTCCGGGCTTTTTTGTCGTCGACCAAAACTTTAATTAACATATATCAATATTTAATTAAATAATCAATTAATTTCATCATACATTTGTATACTTGTCATAGGACAAGGATTAATTAATTGTATTTTTTTCAATCGCGTAGTATTCTAATAAACTATGAAATTTTCTCAATAAGTGTATTGTTTGTTACTTGTCCCTTGTCCCTACCTAAGATCCTGTTATGTCCTTTAGTTTTTTTATTATGACTTGATTAATAACCTGTCATTCGATGCTAGACATTCTATGTGCGATGCCTCATTGCACTAAGTCGAACACGATAACGTTTACAATATTCGGTCAGACCATAATGATTATATACTGGGTTGTTCAAGTAATTCAATTATTACATTTAGCATTTTAATTGCTATACAGAAGATTAATAGTGTGTATACACATGTTATCGCAGTAGCGTAGTGGTTTGCAAGTACAGGTTATGAACAGCCCAGTTATGAATATGTTTTGCAAGTTTAAGTCTGCAACTTTGCACTTTTTATTGTGCTTTTGAATATATTTTTTATAGTTTGTCACGAAAGTTTTGGTTTTCTCTTTTGATCAGTTGTATAAATATATACATTTATTTTCTTCCATTGCTATTTATTCGGTCATTCAACACCCTAATTTATCGGCGAATGTGACTCTAATTCAGTCTGTTGAATGCGATCTGTGTTAAACGTAATGTTCTTATGAAGAAATGAAATCCTTTTATTTGAAATAAATTTCTTTAAAAAATAGAAAAAATGCTTATTCAAAGATATGAACCAGTGTCTCTGCGTTCTTACAACTATGCTATATTGAACGGATGAAAAGTGAGTAATTGTTTAGATGTTAAAAAATTTAGACGATGCTAAATCGCATGCTTTAATGTAAGAATTATCGACATCCCTAATCGTCAATATTGCTGTAAACAGAAAATATTTACAGTGATTAAGAGTTAAAGTCTAATAGAATGTGATATTTGCATAATTAAATAAGTATAATAAATAAGTGTAAGATAAAAAGAGACAACTGAAATGTGTTTGTTTACTCACTAATTCGTGGCAAATAATCAATTCCACTTGTACTGAAGACTGTGTCATTCTCCGCCCCTGAATATTTAAAACTAAAACCATTATTTTGTATAACTTATACTATAAGTATACTTAGTGTGACATGGTTACGTGTCTAACATGTGAACAAGTTTGGACAGAATATGATAACGTTTAAAATAAGTAAGTTTTTACCTACACTTCAATTTCCTGAAGATACCAAGTGACCTACAAGAATCCCATGTCATTTCTTTCTGATGTCAATCAGTCGCGGAAAATATTCTCCTAATAAGTAATAGTTGCCGTACGAGGAATAGGTCTGCATATTGTTTACAGACCCGGGTGGCGATCTGAAGACCGAAAGTGGGTTTTTTATAAGGCAACCTGGGTCTGTAGATACTATGCAGGCCTATTCCGAGTGCGGTAACTATCTTACCTACATGCTCTTTTGATATTCAAACATCATTTTTTAACTCATTATTTATTAATATTTTTCACAAGAAACCTTATATTTATGTTCTGTATTATGTATAAGAATATATTCAAATATACAAACCGCTACGCTCTTGTAATTCATTAGTTCACAATTCAGGTGTTATTTGAAAATTCTCGTGTTTATCGTGGGGTTTCATTATGGTAAATGTACTTGTTGAGATGAGTCACATAAAATGAAAACAGAGCTTGTCGAGATTTCTGTTTCAAATCATTGATATAAAGAAAGCAAAGGTAAGCTCATTATTTTGTAATAATAATAATAATAATAATAATAATGATATAAAAATTGGCATGGAATATTTTATCCTTATAAATGATTAATTTCATGGTAAATATATGTTCAGGTTATTTTAGGCATGGAATATTTTATCTTTATAAATAATTAATTTCATGGTAAATATATGTTCAGGTTATTTTAGGTATGGAATATTTTATCTTTATAAATAATTAATTTCATGGTAAATATATGTTCAGGTTATTTATGATATAATATATACGAATATTTTAAAAGGAAAGTCAGTGACAGGCTTCTATGAATAATTATTAATAATGCAATATAATTTATTTAATCTAATTTCTTTCTTTTAATTTGATGAACATGAAAATGTAAATATATACCGGTCCTTTTCCTAGTCGAATTGGTCACCCCCACCCCCACCCCTATAAATTTACACAATTTATTAGCGTATTTTGTTTTCGTGTGTGTGATTTTTTTTCTTTTGCACAATTCCTGCATTACATATTACATATACGACTATTATTATGCAATGCCACATCTTAAATGCACGAGTTCCTCGACATCACATATTTTCTTTTGTATAGAGAACAATAGAACAATAACAGGTCGGTATCTATTTGCAGACCTGTTAAGTGATTTACTTTACCGCTTGTAACAATGGAGCCGGTAGGTACTTATGATCCCTATCTTATAAGCTTTTCACATAACTTACAATTTCAACGCCGTGTCACGTTTTTTACGAAATCATGACACCAAAACTTCGTATAATACGTCGAATATCACCATCTATCAAACGTGCGAATACGAGTTGATTCACGATAGAAAAATTATATTCCGATTTTCTCTCAGATTGCAAAACTATTTTCCCTGTCCATTTTTGTGTCGCCTCTACGGAGTAGTGGCGACATATAGGGATCACTTCTCCGTCGTCCGTCTGTCTGTCTGTCTGTCTGTCCGTCTGTCCGTCCGTCCGTCACAAAACTTGTCCGGACTACTCCTCATAAACTACTGGTGCAATTTCATCCAAACTTTACAGGAATGATCAGTACCAAGTCTAGTTGTGCATATTGTCAGGATTTTCCGGTTCAATGATTTTTGTCAGAGTTATGGCCCTTTAATAATTTTTAATTTTAAAGTTTGTCCGGACTACTTCTCTTATACCACTAATGCAATTTCAATGAAACTTTACAGGATTGATCTGTAGCTCAAGTCCTTGCGCATATTGCACGGGTTTTCCGGTTGAATGATTTTTGGCCGAGTTATGGCCCTTTGATAAAAAGGTTTCTTTTTCTGTGTGTTGCCAGATACACAAAAGCTTGTCCGGACTACTCCTCATAAACTACTGGTGTAATTTCATCCAAACTTTTCAAGAATGATCAGTACCAAGTCTAGTTGTGCATATTGTCAGCATTTTCCGGTTCAATGATTTTTGTCAGAGTTATGGCCCTTTAATGATTTTTATTTTTAAAGTTTGTCCAGACTACTTCTTCTCTTATACCACTAATGCAATTTCAATGAAACTTTACAGGATTGGTCTGTAGCTCAAGTCCTTGCGCATATAGCACGGGTTTTCTGGTTGAATGATTTTTGGCCGGGTTATGGCCCTTTGATAAAAAGGTGTTTTTTTCTGTGTGTTGCCAGATACACAAAAGCTTGTCCGGACTACTCCTCATAAACTACTGGTGCAATTTTATCCAAACTTTACAGGAATGATCAGTACAAAGTGGTTAGTCTAGTTGTGCACTGTCCGTCTGTCTGTCCGTCTGTCACAAAATTTGTCCCAACATGAAATTGGCCATCATGAGGCGACACATGTGATTACTGATCGCTCTTGTATATGAATAATGCTGAGTGCTGTTCAACTGTGATATCCAAGTGGCTTTATGAAATTCTTCCTGAGATGACGACAAAAAATTCACGTGTTTAATTCGTTAGAGAATTATATCCGGGTCTTGGCATGAAATGAAAGCGCAAAAAAGTGCCAAAAAACATTCCGTTCCTCTCACATTAAAGGAGAGTGTACGTTGTTATCTTAATGAAATTATGATATGATTATGCATTTTTAAACGTTGTCAAAATAGCGGAAAACAAGTTTAACGTTTAAGACATGTGACCAGGTCGTAATAATATGCAACAAAGGGGTCATGGTGGTATAACAGAATGTGTTAATTGTACAATAAAATAATTAAGAGTAATAAATAAGTGTAAGAAAAAAAGGATAACTGAAATGTGTTTGTATACTCACTTTCTGGCTTGGGATATCCATTTGTACTCACAGGAGATTCTGTCAAAAAATATGAATCAAAGTTAGATATTCCCCTATTTAATAAAAAAAGCTATTGACAAATTTCAAATAAAGGAAATTGAATAAGTGTAAGTTTAATACTGAATTTATTCAACCAGTTCAATAAAATTATATTACGCGAGCTTCTAAAATTTTATTCAACGAATTCAATAAATTCAGTAATGAACTTGCACGAATTTAATATTCTTTTTATCACATACCAAAAATATAGACCGTTTGAAGTGAAAAACAGCCTTTTTCATGTTTATATGAGTATAACGCAAATAACGTCGTCACGTCAATATATATGCACGCCGGGTAATACCATTTTTACGGAGTCGCAAAAACGACAAATACGATTTTGGACCCTGGCATATAGGATCGAGGGATATTTTCTAAAAACTGTCATGGCATATGACCATGTTGAATTAATTATCTTTTATGTTTATACATGTATAAGCTACAGTAGTGGATTGTAAGAAGAATGTTGTCAACTTTCTTTTTGGTTTTTATAACTCAGTAATAAGATATCAATAAAAACCCTTAACATAAATTTTAGTTCGTATAACCATGTATAGGACTATCAAAGATCCATATTACAGAGACATATATTACAAGGGGATAAGAAATAAAAAAAATTCCCGTCCATACCCATAATGCATTGAGCGAAAATCGTTGGCCCTTGGAGTTGATCAATTTCCACCATTTTGTTTTAAGTTACCAAATGTGTTAGCATTTTCATCTATTACCGACATTTTTTCAAATCGTTATGCTTTTTAACATTTTTGAAACTACTTTTTCGTATATCCTTTTAATAATTCAAATATCGAAATGAAGAAATCATGGCGTCGTACGTACCAGTACATTTTCTCGTGTCAAAACTATTATTATTTCTAAGCCTAAAATATATCTTGCAACAAGTAATGAAACTTATTTTATTAATAAATAAAATAAATATTTAAAATTCTACCAAATTCATCAAACCGTGTAAAAATACTGCGTGAGATTGTGAAATACGAAAGTTTAACAGATAGATTTTGTTTATTTGTCTCAGTTTCCATTTTATTATTACATCATTTTATTATACCCCCACCACAAAATGTGGGGGGGGGCTATAATGGATTCGCTTTGTCGCGTCGGTCGGTCGGTCGGTCCGTCCGTCCGTCGGTCCGTCTCCATTTTCGTGTCCGCTCTATAACTCCTATACCAATTGAAGGATTTTCTTCAAACTTGGCTCAAATGTTCACCTCAACAAGGGGATGTGCAGAACCCATATTGCCCATGTGTCAGTTCAAGGTCAAGGTCACAATTGAAGGTCAAATATCAAACACTATCAAATATTACACAGTATGTCGTGTCCGCTCTGTAAGTCCTACCCTACTTGAAAGATTTTCTTCAAACTTGGCTCAAATGTTCACCTCAACCAGGGGATGTGCAGAACCCATGTCGTCCATGTGTCAGTTCAAGGTCAAGGTCACAATTGAAGGTCAAATATCAAACACTCAAATATTACACAGTATGTCGTGTCCGCTCTGTAAGTCCTACACTACTTAAAAGATTTTCTTCAAACTTGGCTCAAATGTTCACCTCAACCAGGGGATGTGCAGAACCCATGTGTCAGCTCAAGGTCAAGGTCACAATTGAAGGTCAAATATCAAACAATTTAATATTACACAGTATGTCGTGTCCACTCTGTAAGTCCTACACTACTTGAAAGATTTTCTTCAAACTTGGCTCAAATATTCACCTCAACAAGGGGATGTGCAGAATCCATGTTGCCCATGTGTCAGCTCAAGGTCAAGGTCTCAATTGAAGGTCAAATATCAAACAATCTAATATTACACAGTATGTCATGTCCGCTCTGTAAGTCCTACACTAATTGAAAAATTTTCTTCAATCTTGGCTCTAATGTTCATCTCAACCAGGGGATGTGCAGAACTTATGTCACTCTTTTGCTGGCTTAAGGTCAAGGTCGCACTTTAAGGTCAAAAATTGACTTAGAAAATATTCTTAAATTTTAACATTTATTTGAATATTTCTAAATCTAGAAAAGGTATTTGCTTGAAACTTAAAATATTTTTGAAGGGTCACA